TGTTTATTTTAAATGGGTTCTTGCTTGTGCTGTTTCAATTCTACTTGAAGAGCACAGCAAGAAGCCAGTTTCTCCAACAGCTCTGGCTACCACCTGGGAAAAAATACTTGTGGTAGGCTGTGGTGCAAGTAGGACTCCTCTCCCTGCTGTTTATGGCTAGCAGGACAACAATACAGCGGACATCTCATGGGACCAATGAGAATTCTTATAAAGGAAAGCAAAATACCAGGTAAAAGTAACATCTGAATCAAGGTCTTCACAGAGAGCTTCAAGCTCTGTTCATGTTAGGTTGGAAGGTGATCCCTACCTCATTGCTCTCTGCATGGTATCTGTGAATTCACATTCAGGTCACTGCTGTGAGTACTGAAACTGTGCTATTGTGCTACTGTCCAGAGTTTGTTCAGTGTCACTTCAAGATGAGAGGTATGTGTCAACACTGCCTCCAATATTAAAACTCTTCAAACTATCAGATGGGTATTACACCAATGCTATGTGCTTCACACAGATCGTTGGGAAGATACAACTGTAGGTAACTGATGACTTCTCTCCCTCCTTTCCATCAAAAGACTGCAAGACAGGTCCCTGTTCTGTCCCTTCACCAGCTTTGGCTATGGAGAAGACACCTTGGTAAAAACAGTAAGTCAGCAGGGTCAAGCAATGGTACAAAGAAAAAGAATTCTTAGGTTTATCGTTTTGCTGCTTGTTGGAAACAGCAGGTTTAAGAACAAGTCTATCCAGAAGAAAAGAGATCCACCTCCAAATGCTTGATGAGACAAGAAGGAAAAGTATTTCGTCCTCTTAAGGGATCTAGTCTCCAGAACCTAGAAATATGCTCAGTGAAACTATGTTATCAAGGCTGTGTTACAAATCAGTAGTAATGTTCTTGTCCTTCTCTGCCATAAGTAATTCTTGGGCATTAGCAGCCTCCAGCACAAGCAAACAAAGAGAGAACAACAGTTCAGTCCTTAGAAAGGGGGGCAGTCCAGCTGGAAGTTAAGTTTACAGTCATCTGGGCAAAGAGCTAGAGGTTAAGCATGCATACATTTCACAACTGAGACTGCTCATGAAAGACCAGCTGGCAGCTAAATGTTTTTCTGAAGCTTCCCACAGGAAGAGAAGGAAAATATCTTCCTTTGGTCTGGCAAAACTAATCACTGTAATCAAAGCTGGAGTTTAAATGGCTTGCAAAACTGTTCCCAACTTCCAGGGCTGCCAGCCCCAAAGCACTGAAGAGTCATGAATCAGGTCCCACCAAGATCAAGTCTTTTTTCTTGCTGAATTTTGATCACTTACGAATTTATATTTAGAAGTGTTCCTCTGTGATAAGGAGAACTCGATACTTTGCTGTGACTTGTAGTTATCATAAATATAAAAATCAAAGCACCCCATGACAGCTGTTTGAAGAAAGCCTGAAAACAAATAAAATCAAGAATGCAGAGGAAAGAAAACCCACAGTGACTGCAAAGACACTTTCAGCAAATATGCTAGTTAGGTAAACAGGAGTCCAAGCAGCACAGAAAACGGAAATGATCTGCATAAATAAGATAATCAAAACATATTTTCATCCACATCTCACGGGTAGAGATCTAAAGAAGCTCATGAATTTTATTCCACTGCTGCTCTTCTGGACAATGAGAGCACTCTTGGAATAAAAAGTGAGCTGTACACAGACCTGAGATGCTGTGGATGATCACAGGAATGAAGGTCAGGAAAGAGGACTAAACCAGACCACACTTTTCCATCACTCCACCTGACCTTCCCTCCCAGGCTACTCATCCACTCCAAGCCACACTGACAGTTTTTGGCATGTAGGAATGTGTTTCCAAAAGTAAGTGGCAGGGCGTTGGAAGAACCTCCCTTCTCATATTTCTCTTTCTCCCCACTCTCCAGCAATGTCTGCCAACATGTTCAAGAAATAATTTAGCTAAAGGACAGAGAAAATAATCTAACAGAAAATTAATACAGTAGTATAATTACTTAACACACAGTTAACATCTCAAGCCATGTTCAAGCATCCCAGCTTGCAAACACAGTATCATTCTAGATTGACAATGTCAATCCATTTTGTCTTCTCCATCCAAATCCCATGTACCTGGCCAAGTGATACTCTCATTTCCTAAATGGAGGCCATTCGTACAGACTTTTAAACCAAGATAAAGTTTCCTGACATGGTATCATCCCTCCAGTGTAAAGCAAATATCATCCTTTTCACTTTGCAGTTTTCCCCAACTCACTCCATGCAACCACTCTTGAACAGTAGTCCTGGCAAGAAGATTTCTGTTCAGGTAGTGATTCTGTTTTGGACAAGTCTTCAGATAAACTTCAGCACTGTGTTGCCTGTGTGGTATACTTTAAAACAGGTCGTATGCAAAAAGATCAAAAAAGTAGAGTAATAAGTGTTATAAAGGGGACTAAAGTATTTTAGTACAACATGACAGATGTCTTAAAAATAATATGGATGGTCTTTTGTACCGGGTATTTCCTCATGTGCTCTTGAAAAAGGGAGAACACCACACACTAAACACCACTGCCTTCTAGCCTCCAGATTACTATTTCAGATTTGAAATCTTACTCAAGTCATTAATTTTAGCAATGAATTGCTCCTAAAAGGAGATTTTGGTATGTTTCAATCTTGCAACACCTTTTAAAACTAGAGAACAAGAAGGTAATGTCCCCTGACATTCCCACATCTTGTATCATTGTTCACAAAACTGTATGGAAAAACTGTAGCATAATTAAAAGATCTTTAAGGTTTTCATCTTTAGGAGTAGGATCAGCCTAGACTAGCTCCTTAAAGGAAGTTCAAAGGCCACACACAAACCACTCTCATGGTAATCACATATACCAGCAAGGCACATTATCCAAATTGAGTCAGACCTATTTGTCTGTGGGCCTGAAACAGTAACAGAAGATGTCAAGTACAGAGCAGAGTTGGGCACAGACTGAGCAAATGGCTGGAAATGAGGATAAGGCAGAAACTCATCCCTCAGAGTATGTACACTTTAAATGATTAAACAGCCCAGGGACTTTGAGGAGACATGGGTTTTCACCTAGCAAAACAGTATCTAAGAGCATTTCACATCATGGCTCACCAGAAGGCAGCTGCGGCTCAGACTGTGAAGCTGCATTGGCCACAGCTCTGTGGACATCCTTCACTGAAGTCGTGACACAAGCAGCAGCTTCTTTACTCCTGCAGTGAATAAGAGCTTTGCTGCTGCAATGACTAAGGGTTTAAACTGCATTTGTGAGAGACTGTCTGCAAACTGTCCCAAACAAGCGGCCAGTGTTTCCAGGACAGGTTTCCCCATCTCCTGACACTTTTAGTCTCTTCAGTCTGCAGAGAACTTCCTGTCAGATTGTATACAACCAGCACAAACAGGTCTCCTTGCCTGGAGCAGTAAGTGGCCCTATGGAGCTAAGCCATGCAGAAACCCCAGCCATGCTACTGAGTTTTCTCCAGGCTGCTCTTGAACACCTCTGCACTGCTATCACTGCACACATGTAAGAGCCCAATAAGGAAGCAGAGCAAGACACACATACCACAAGGAAGAATTTACAACAAAGTTCTCTGGCTCTTCATGATAGTCATCTAAGGGAAACATCAATTTTGTTTACCACTGTGATGTGACATTTCACAGGCCACATCATATCCCTTGCATACTTACCTTGAAATATAACTGTCATTTTCAAGCCTCAGGCAGACAGCAGCCTTGCAGACAACAAATCCATGACCCCAGCTTCCATCCTGTTTATAGCATGTTGCAATGCTTTCTCAGAAAATGAAATATTTAGTAAAAGAAATGAAGAAAAAGCAGGTACTTTATTCAAGAGCTGATGGTCAAGGTAGGACAGCTCAACTACAAGTACTGCCACTGAAAATAACGTCACTATGAAAAAGCACATACACCAGGCTTAATTTGCATCAAACATGGCTCAGCAAAAAATTCATGAGGAAAGAAAATCTGGTTAGCACAGTGATGCTGTACTTCTGGAGCCTGTTCTCTAGAGAGCAGGCTCAAATGCATAGCAGCCACAGCCTTTTCTTGTTATTGGCCTCATACACTCCTAAGGCCTCTGCAAAAATCATAGACATGCCCAGGGCTCAGAAGGGTACACATTGCTAACAGTAAGTTTATCACAAATCACATCTGAAGAGTTTTCCCAGGGCTGCCCAGGAAAGCTTGCACGCATCTGCTTGTACTATACAGTACTAAGTCTGTGGGGATTTTACTATAGAAAAAACACACAGGGTTGTTTTTTTGAGTTTTTTTAAAGCGTTCTTCCATGTGAGAGTCAGCTTTTATGAGATGGGTATGAAGCAATCTAGTCAAACCCTGGTCTGCACAAAGGCAGTGGGTGCCAATATTCTCCTTCTCCTGGGAGCAGGATCATTGCTTTAGCCAGTAACAGTCAATCTTCCAATAAAGGGCATGAAACTGTGCAAGACGAGAGAAGAAACAAGTCCTGAAGTCATATACAACACAACAAAATAATTCCTCTTAGTTCAGGTGTGCCTCTAGAAGCAGGCAGCCCAAGGAACAAAAATACACTTGGCAAAGGCCACCACAAACCATTCCAGTATGCAGGATGACCGCGTGAACTGGTGTCCTAAGGTTATAACCAAGCGCACGAAAGGCACATAAAGAGAGAGAGCGCCTGTCACTAACGTCTGCGCAACAGGGTTTCAGTTTTTAAAGCCACGTCTCGCAGAACCCCCGACGCTGGCGCTGACAGCTGGGTTCCGGCAGCAGCCGCTGGCTGGCAGCACGCCGGCAGCGCCACGGGACTGGGTCGTCCCTCCTGGGGTCTGGGCTGGATCCGTTCTGGGCCGCGGACTCCTCCCGCCGCCATCCAGCATGCTCCGTCCCGGCAGCGGCAGCCGCAGCTTGCCTAATAAGGCCACACGCGAGTTGACTGGCTGGCGGGGAGGTCACCCAGTGTTTACCTTGCGCGGCGGCAGCCGGAGCCTGCCTGCCTGCCCACCTACCCACCAGCCCCGACAGGCCCCGCTGGCCCCCCTCAGCCGCTGGGCACCGCCAGCGCGGCCTGCCCCTCAGCACCAGCAGCCCCGGAGCTCTGGCTGCTCCCACGCGGGAGGGTAAGCTCCGCCGGCACCCCGCTGCCGAGGGAGACGTACTTCGGCTTTACCAGAGGCAGAGCGAAAGTGCAGAGAGTTCAGGTACAGTTTTCGCCGCAGTACATTTTAGGTCCAATAGGCTGGAAAAAAAAATCAGGTTTCTCGCTGCGTGAGTTGCTTGAAAGTAGGGCAGCAGCGAGGGGATAAACAGCCACCTTCACAGTGCCGAGGTGGCTGACAGGTACTTGTCAAACATCAGAACCAAGGGAACTAGATGAAAGGAAGGTGCAGATACTCATCTGAACACTACTACTTAATTATTTAATGCTTTTTATCAGTTACAGTGAGATTCACTGCAATTCAGACAGGTGGCTTCAAAAGTAATGACTTACTGTCCCCAAAATAGCTGTATTTAGCAAAAATAAACCCCAACCCTTGCTTCTGCTGCTCACTGTCTCTCCTGTGATTCAGACTAGTTTTTCCTTTATACCTTAAGGTAATTTCAAGATGCTCGATTTGGACCGCATCCTATTCTTCTTCCCAGCACAGAGTCTGCAAGGAAAGCCAGGAGACCGCACCCTGGTTAGAGCCGGCAGACAGAGGAGAGCCGTACAGATCACCCTCTCCAAGGGGCTGCTCAGAATGGCTTTTTCCCTACAGGTCAGTACAGGCAGTGCATTTCTGTCCTTTATTCCCTCCCGTGACTGGCACTGAGCAGTAAAATACCAGGACAGTTCAGATATTATTTGTACCCTGATACTTCTAAAATTGGCATTCAATTTCCTAAGCACTTTGCTGTCTTGAATGAAGCATCCCCAGTGAGGGCACTGCCGGAGAGCTCGCAAGTCCCCAGGCAGCAGGGACAGGCACAGAGAGTGCAGGTCTATGGGAGGGTGCTGGGCAGCAAACTGAGCATCCTGCCCATAGTCCTGGAGACTTTGTAGTTCTTGTATTTTGTAAACTCCATATCTTAGCTTCTCAGTACTAGCAAAACAATACCACCCTGCTGGGTATTTAAACCCTGTAAGGTTTAAATACCTACCTAACACTATGAGATATAACAATACATCTACCTGGTATTTCTCACAGCCAGAAAAATCCCTTAACACACAGAGAGTAAAACTAAACTGTGATTATCACCCCACTGAAAGAAATCAAACTACCACAGTTATGTCCTGTTTCTGCAATGAACCTGGGGTTCACATGATTATAATTAAAAGCATTAACATCTATGGCCAACTCACTCTTTAAATAGTGCATGTTTAAAAATGCAGCTGGGAATCATGCTGACAGTTTGTAGGCTTATTATTTCAGGATGAAGCTCTGCCTAGATGCACACACAGATCTTGGCTCAGAACTGCTGATTTTCTGCTCAAAGTCTATTCTCACCCAATATATGCTTCAGGAATACAAAGAAGTGGGACACATGCATTCAGAAAAGGGCCAGTCAGACACAAGTATACACAAGTGGTCCTAAAATAAGCTAACTCACTTTGTGTCCAGTTTGCTTAGATCAGCAGCACAGTATGCTCTTATGACTATAATCAATAATGAATGCTGCAGGAAACTAAACAACACATTAGGAATGAGATAAACTCTGTCATGGGTGGCAAGGCAGTAGAACAGGTTGCCCAGAGAAGCTGTGGCTGCCCCATCCCTAGCAGTGCTCAAGGCCAGGTTGGACGAGGAGCAACCTGGTCTAGTGGGAGGTGTCCCTGCCTGTGGCAGAGGGTTGACAGTAGATCTTGCAGGTCCCTTCCAACCCAAACTAGTGTATAATTCTATGTGCATTAGACCCATTAACAGAGTTTTAAGGAAGAAGTCAGGGTAACCCTGAACTATGGAAGTCAGTCAACACTTCACAGACATACAGGCTGGGATGAGAGAAAACCTATTGGGCTTGGACTACCTGCTAGAGGAAAAAGGTTCACCCATTTGTTTCTAGTCTCTCAGAGTGAGAGACACTGACAGGTGTCTAGGTGCCAGGGGGAGCATTGTCTCTCCTCTTTGTTAAAAAGGAGAATGTCAATAAACTTGGGCACACCCAGGAAAAAAAAACAAAAACTGACACTCTTACCGGTGACACAAGTTAATTTAGGACCGTTTGTGTAACTGCACACTAGCAGTTGCTTTCAAATGCTTTTATGCTTTCGCAGTTTTAATCTTAAATAGGAGATAAAGTAACAGCTGACTTTTCTCCATTCTAACACTCCCATTTTCCATCTTTGCTCACAGACATTAAAAATTCCAAAGGACAGGATTGAGGAAAGAACTTCTGGGACAGTTTAGAAATACAGCAGTGTCTCCTCCACTGTGCTAAAGATGGAAAACAATAAAAAAAAGTTAGCATTTTTTAATCCATATTCTGAATACCCTATATGCAAAATGACATCTAAGCAATAGGGAAGTTACCCTCACAAAGCAGAATGGCTTTTTCATTTCTCAGTACAATGCACGGTTTTATACTCAGTTATACCTGTCTGGTGCAAAGCTAGCAAGTAAAGTTCTTTCTCCAGGAACAGGGCAGAAATGTAATTTTGGCAAAATCTATGCATATCAAAGGTGATGCTGAAAGAACAGAGTAATGGCTCATGTAACTACTTAACCTTTAAATCAAAGTTGAAGATTTTTTTTCCTCATACACTCCTCTCTCACTCACACGAGAGGAAATACATCTACCACATAATCAACAATTACGTGCTGCAGGCACACATTCACTGAGAAAACAGGTGGGGTTTCGGTGAGGTAACGAAGAGCTGTTCTTTCCCTGGTGTACAGATGGTCAGTTCAAGCTCAAAAGCAAAACCATCATGACTTTGTTTAAATGAAATGTGGTGAGCAAAGAAACAGCTTACAAATGAAAGAACAAGGGCAGCTGCTTATGGAGCCAGGAGGTCTGTTACAGTCCAGCTTCCTGAAACCACCTTGGGAAAGTATAGAGGACAGCCGCTGAGGCTGGTGCAACCTTGATGCCGGTGTGATGGCTGTAAGGGAATGCTCAGGCACACCACACCTTTTACTGTCACAGGGAAGGAGCTCAGCTCTACTTACCCCAAATGTCACACATCTTCCTGAGACTGGACTGCCATTCCCAGCTCTACTCCTTTTAGTCTCCTAGCTATCGTCACTGCTAATCCCCCTCTCCTGATTTTATTTCTGTGGACCTCTGCATACTTCACCTTCCTCCTGCACCCCATACTAAGGGTAATCAGACTGCACTCGTCAGTATCTCCAAATCTGCCTCTACTTCCACAAATCTCTACACTTCTACCCCCAGCTCTTCTCTTGCTCTCACTTCAGACTCTCCCATCAGAGACCCAGTCCCACCCCACTGGCTCTCTTTGCCCACTCTACCCCTCCCCAAACCAGGCCACCTAACTGAGCAGAGTTTTGGTTTCCTTCTCCAGGAGGCTTCAGTAAAGGGCTGCCTAATTTAGCACAGTTAGAATCATAAAATCATATGATTTTATCACATTATATCAACTGGTTTGGGTTGGAAAGGACCTTCAAGATCATCTAGTTCCAACCCCCTGCCACAGGCAGGGACACTTTCCACTAGACCAGGTTCAAAGCCCTGTCCAGCCTGGCCTTGAAAGCTGCCAGGGATGGAGCATCCACAGCTTCTCTGGGTGACCTGTGCCAATGCCTCACCAACCTCACAGTGAAGAACTTCTATCTAGTCTAAATCTACCCTCTTTCAGTTTAAAGCCATTCCCCCTTGTCCTATCACTACACGCTCTGTAAATAATCCCTCTCCAGCATTTTGTAGGCCCCCTTTATGTACTGGAAGGCTGCTCTATGGTCTCCCTAGAGCCTTCTCTTCTTCAGGCTGAAAAAGCCCAGCTCTCTCAACCAGTCTTCACAGGAGATGTACTCCAGCCCTCTAATCATCCTTATGGCCCTCCTCTGGACTCGCTCCAACAGGTCCATGTCCTTCTTATGTACTTGATAGTTACTCTCCCCTCTACTACGCAAGATCTGGACAATGGAAACTAAACCTGCATTCATGAGACCTGAACCAACCTGGGGCACACAGAGCACACTATGGAGCAGGCCAACAGCTGAAGCGCAATAGTGTAAGGATACTGATAGTCTTGGACATTTTTCTTTTGCAGGTAAATTTCCTTCACCAGTAAACTTGTCTGTCCCATGAATAGCATCAAAGGAACGCTGTGCTGTTTGAAGAGAGCCACTGAGCATATGTAATGGAAAAAGAAAACAGACATCACTTAAAGAAAGGCCAGGCAGTGTGAGCAAATCAGAGTTGGAAAAAATGAAGGTCTCCCTAGATGTCTTGATGGTTACTGGCTATTAAAGTAATATACTAACAACCAGCTACATAAAGGTGCTAGACTAGGTCCTTGCAAGGCAGGCCTTACAACTCGGGTTTTGAAAATACACCTACAGTAGCATTTGTCTAAAAGTGAAGCAAAACCACTGCTGAGGAATCCTGTATTAAAATCAGAGATGTGCACAGCACAATGCTTCTTAGCCAGCAGGACACAGTGGGACACAGCCCTGTGCCAGGTGATGCTACAAAATCATCAGTCACTAGGGGCCTGTCATGTGTGAGCACAGTCTAGCGCTGAGCCAAGTGTTCTGCTAGCACAGATGAGGCAGCAATATGTTTAGCTGCTGCAGGAAGACAACACTCAGGAGGGCTGCAAAAGCCAGCAGCGAAATGCAGCAGGTTCTGCAGCAAGACTTCTCTTTACCACCCACATCACACTCAAGGACCTTGCAGTTCTCAGGGGCAATAGGATCACAGAATCATGGAATACCAGATTGGAAGGGACCTCAAGGACCATATGGTCCAATCTATCTTAGTCTTTCCTGTCCAGCTGAATCTTGGAAGTGTCCAACATCTGGGAATCTGTCACTTCCCTGGGGATATTATTCCAGTGGCTGATTGTTCTGAGTGTGAATATATTTTCTCATATCTGATCAGAATCTCCCCAGGAGTAGCTTGTGCCCATTACCTCCTCTTTTCCATGTGACTCCTTGTAAAAAGGTAATTTCCATCGTCTTTGTATCCAACCTTTAAATACTGGAATATGGTGGTAAGGTCTTCCTTGAGCTTTCTTAAGGCTGAACAAACCCAGCTCTCTCAGCCTTTCCTCATATGACAGACTTCCCAGTCCTTTGAGCATTTTTGTGGCCCTTCTCTGGACCCTCTCCAGCCTGTCCACGTCTCTTTTTGCACAGGAGGAACCAAAACTGGACACAGTATCCCAGATGTGGCCTGACAAGCACTGAGTGGGATAATGACATCTTATCTCTGCTGGTGATGCCCTTGTTGATGCAAGCCAGCATCCTGTTAGCTTTCTTTGCTGCAGCTGCACACTATCCACTCATATTGAGCTTCTTGTCCACCAGGACCTTTCCAGAGAGCTGCTCCCTAGCTAGGTAGGCCCCATCCTGTGCTGCACTCTTGGATTGTGCTTACCCAGGTGCAAAACCTTACACTTGTCCCTGTTGAATTTCATAAGGTTCTTGTTCACTCACTCTTCCAGCCTATAATAATAAGATAGAATAAGCTAGATAAGCTTATTCTACAGAGTGGGTCTCCCTTTTAAAGTGTCCACTTCCCTGCTCAGTTTGGTATCAGCAAACTCATCAAGACACACTTGATGCCGTCTTCTGCATTAATTATGAAAATATTAAACAGCATTGGGCCCAACGCTGATCCCTGAAGGACCCCACTAGTGACAGGCTGCCAGTTTGAAAAAGAGCTATTTATCACACCCTCTGGTTGTGGACAGCCAGTCAGTTCTCCACCCACCACACAGACCACTTGTCTAGATTATAACACATCAGTTTCCCTAGAAGAAGGCTGTGAGAAACCTTATCTTAGCCTTCTCCCAGCCTTCTGGAACATCCCTTGATCTCCACAACTTCCCAAAGATTATGAAGAGCAGCCTCCCAGTGACATCAACCAGCTCATTTAACAGCCTCAGGTGGATATTGCCAGGGCCCGTTGATTTGTAGGGGTCAAGCTCCTGTAATAGTTCCAGTACAAACTCTTCCTTTACTGATGCTGGATCTGTGTTTTTATAAACCTGGATTTTTGTTCCCAAGACCAAATGTGCTGGTAAAGACAGAGGTGAAGAAAGTGCTGAGAATTTCTGCCTTTTTAGTGTTGTTGATGACTTAATTCAGCTCTCCTGATTAACAGTGGGCCAGTATTTTCCTACTGTTCCTGCTTGTTGTTTATGTACCTGAAGAACCCTTTCTTGTAGTTTTTAATATCTCTTGTCAATTTCAATTCAGCTTGAGGTTTTGCTTTCCTAAGTGCATCTCTGCGCACCCTGGCAATGCCCTTGTACTTCTCAACAGGTATTCATTTTTCCATATTTGGCACACTTCTCTTTTGGTTTTGAGCAGACTCAGAAGCTTGCAGTTTAGGCAAGAGGGTCTCTTGCCCCACCTATTTCCCTTATCTTTAAAGGGAACAAACTGGTTTTGTGCTTCCAATAGAGCATTCTTGAACATCTCCCAGCACTTCAGCTCCTTTATCCTCCAGGGAAGCTTCCCATGGAATCCCTCTCAACTCAGCTCTGAATGAGCTCAAGCTTGCCCTTTTAAAATCTAAACCTCTGGTCTTAGTACTAACCTTCAGCAGAGTCAGCCAGATCCCAAACTACTGTGATCACCACAGCTAACACTGGCACTAGCCGAGATACTACAAAGCGGGTTTTCTTGGTTTGAGAGCAGCAGCTCCAGCAGTGCCTCATTCCTGGTTGGCACATCTAACATTTGTTTGTGGAAGCAGTCCTCTAGGCATTCCAGGAACTTGATGGATGACATTTAAGCTGCTGTATAGTTCTTCCAACAATTGAGATGTTACAAGCCTTGGGGAATTTTGGGGTGCATGGACCCTGAGAAGCTTCATTGTTAAAGTACTCCACCATCCTCCCAGTCTCCACAGCCACAGCTAAGGCTGCTCCCACAGTTTGCAATCCAAGCAATAAAGAGCAATTGTGTGTGAGCTTCAGCACCTTAAGAAAACACATATGGGAAACATACACAAGAAATTAACTGAAATGCACCTACTTTATTGTCAGCACAGTGTCCTACTCACAGTGTGCAGAAAGGTATCCTCATAGCATGAAAATAGTTGTTCTTCCTACAACAAGAAGCCTCCATGAGCCATTTGGGAGCTTTATTTTGGCACACCATCACTACTGGCACATTTACTGTTGAGTTCTGTATCAATGTCTCGCACAAAGCATTTTGAAGTCCAAGCAAGATGCTTGTTTTCCTCACTGCCTTTCTATACCTGGTCTAGTATAGTGCTAGTGGAAGAACTGAATAAAATTAAGCAGTATAAGAGTTAGGTAATCCAGCAGTTTATCTAAATAAATTATTTAGTAATTTACATTGCACTTCAGCTTACACATGTCTTGCTTTGACTTAAAAAAATTCTTAAATAGTAAACAGAAAAAAAGCTCAGTCAATGCTACAATTCAAGACATTTAGACTATCTTGTAAGCGCATTGTTTGCCAATGGCCTTAACTCAAACTACAGCAGTGTTTTAAACTCCCATGGAAAGTATGCCTGCATTAAAGCTCACTACAAGAAACTTAAACATCTTGACAGCATGTGGCCATGCATGAGATCACTGCGAAAAGCTGCAGTGTTTTCTGCAGTTCTTTATTTTTGTTTCCTGGGCAGTTTCAAACTGTAACCAGCAGCTTATACCCAAAAGTCTGGATGTCAAGACAGCAAAAACTGGAGTCCAGGAGTTGCATTAGCTCACAATATGTAGTAAGATAACAAAATCCTATCCAAGGAGATCCAGAACACTAGAATGATATTTAATGAAGGCTGAACAAAACTAGAGGATTGCTTCTAGAGAGGACACTACATAGGGATTTCACTTGGAAATCATAACTTCATTTTTATAGTCAAATTCTCACTTTCTTCCCTCAAGGATATACGTGTGTGTGAAACTATTCTATTAAACAGTTTGGCATATGTAAGTTCTTAGCTAGTTCCTTTTCTGAGAGCTTTTTGTTTGCCAAGAATTATCTGTATTTCTTGCAAGTCATTATGAGAAATGGTGTGAGAGCATCCAGCTGCTGATATTTGAAGGGTCTGAGGGTGTGTGAAAGCCATCTAAATAGAAACTAGATTTCACAAAATGTTAACAGGAAAAAAAGTTTGCTAGGTTGGGAGACTTTTTGAAAATTTTTTTTTCATCTATTGACTGTAAGAAAATTTTCTGTTGAAATGAGCTCACAACTCTCTGAAAGAGTCTTATTCACCTATCCTATCTTTCTGTCCTGTAATTTGGGAAACAAAGAAAAGCAGAAGACAGGCAGCCTGGTAGGTAACCTTAAAAAATTACTTCCAAACATAGAAAGGCAAGGAAGAGAAGGGATGCCAAGGTGAATCAGCACCAGGAATGACAGAAATCTACGTCCGTGTAGACCACTGCCTTGTTTTATTTAAAAAGTCATTATTTAACATAAGCAGTTATTTCTCTGTATTAGTGATAAACTATTAGTTGTGGTGCTTGCTTTCTATGGGTGAAGCATGCCACTGAGGGTGTTCCACATTCAATACTTTGTGGCAAATAGCAGTAACATCCAGCAACACACTGTTAAATACTGTAACAAAATTATCCCTTCCCCAGAAAAATAAAATGTACGTTTTATTTCTATTTCCCTATCTAAAGGCTTAACAGCTCCTGTTCAGAGACATTTTTTTCCCCTTAATATTTTAGATTGTGAAAAAAATAAGTAAGTGTGGGGTCCATACAGGATACTTCAATTTTCAAGTTTAGAGACTGGAACAGGACTTGGACTTCCTTTCAGTTACCCTTACTAAGAGATAGGGTTTGGAAAATAATATGGTAAGAAGAACCCTGAACAGATTTTACATCCCCTTGTGTCACAATAATATATAGCTATACCCATCTCCATCTTCTGGAACTGCTACAAATACTCTTTCCCTCCTCCCCCACAATTTTTAATACCATCGAGTGTCATGCCAATTTATTCTCTGCCTTTCCAAGCACTGGCAGTATTAATTTATCAGGATGGAATCCTATAAATACTCTTATTCCAACTTTACCTTTGCTGTAACTACAGAGCATGCTGATTACCTCTGCCATAGATAAAAGCTACTTACACAATGTGCAGCCAATATACAAACACAGCCCTTTATCTGTTAGAACTGAGCCACCATACTCCATTAAGCTCCAGTTAGATTACAGTTTTTAGTGTGAGGTGGCACAACCCCCCTCCATGGCAGGGGGTTGGAGCTAGGTGATCTTAAGGTCCCTTTCAACCTTAACTATTCTATGATTCTGTATCAAAAATTATTTGAATGCCTACTGCTGCTACTCCTTTTTGGTCAAATATTAAAACACTATATTAGTTTTAGCCTCTAATATTAGTTTCCCTGTGAATTTGCTATACAGAAGCAATACTCAAGCCATCCAACATCTCAAGACCAGTCTTAGGTTGATTTGGTGTCCAGCTTAGGTTTTTAGGAAATCTCTTGAGACCCATTACAGGTTTACAAAGCAGTGGTACTGCTACTAAAGTGGTGGTGGTGAAGGACATTCACAACTAATTCCAGGCAATTTCTTGAAAAATTTGAAGGCAGAACACAAAAGCATTGGCTCCCACGCTTGCCAACTGACCAAAGACTTATGTGACTGAAGCACCACGTGAAACGGATATTTTAACATACCTTAGTCTTTGACAGTTTTTGTACAACTGCCTTCAAGGACACCAAGACACAGATATGCCGTATCCTACAACATCAAGGATCATAGAAGATGCTGTGATCTCTCCCTCAATGTATCCTACTTGCTGTTAAATGGCTCCAGTACATGACAACTTTTTTCAAACTGTTGGTTCAGCAGGTTGGAGGAAGCTGTCTTCTGGCAGAGAAAGACAAATGCCAGTACAGGTGCACCCCTTTCCTGGCAAGTAGTTTATCTAAATAAGATTAAGCTTTTCTGACCTCCTCTACCTACCCAGAGCTTGGGTTAAATGAAAGGGTTACCTATCCAGCCCCTCTGATACTAACAGGACATAGCAGAGTAAACAGCCCTGCCCTCTTAATACACAGCAGTGGAACTCAGAAAAAAACCAAAACAAAACAGGCAGACTCCTGACACCACTCAAACAACATCAGTTGTTTTGAGCATTATCATTGATAACGGAAGTCAGTTTTGCATGAGAAAGCCAGATACCATATCTTTAAAAGCAACTGTTAATATATACAGAGGTTAATTTACAGGATGTTTGTACAGCCCATTAAAAAGAACTAAGAAGTCAGATGAACAAGTTAGAAATGAGCAAGTTAGAAGATAATGACTTCTACTTTAACAAGTTTAATCTGACATTGCTCTAACGATAATACTAATCACTTTATGATACAGCACTAAAGAAAAACATTGAACAGCTTTAGAAAAAGAACACAGAATAGTTTTCCTCCTGCTCTCCACAGTCCGATATACATCAACAGTATACAATACATCAGATATGTATTGAAACCATGCTGATAAAACATCCTAATTCAAAGCTTAAAACCAGCACATTGACAGCTCTATTAACAGCACAAGTAAAACATCTATCATTCCATAAAGCCTTGAAATTGTGTTTAATATTTCAGTTCTAAATTTGGTTCCTGCTTGAGGAAAATAATAACTAAAAATTCTACTAGCATTCAGGGCTTCTTGTTAGAATAGATTTGATCTGATTTAAGAAGTAAATACTTTGTACAAACAATAGAGATTTTTTTTCCTTTTTTTTTTTTTTCCTTTCTGCTATTACCTTTACAGCCATGAACTGACTAGGTAACTTCTTAAGTTAGCCATATAGGCAAAGGAAGGAAGCCAGATGACAAAGAATGTCTGAAACTAGATTTGCCCAATAAAGTTCTTTTAGATAAACCCAACTCTATTTGTCTAGAAATGACTGATCTTGCAGTCTTGATTCTCAAATAAAAGCCTACAGAAATAAAACCTTCCAAAGAGAAGACAAATAACTAAAATTTCCTAGTTCCCCCAGATACAACAAACAGCCATGGACTGCTCAGGTACTGGTTTTATAGCCTCCCCCTGTTTAACAGGCTGTAAACTCCTTATTTCTTTCTCCTGTAAAACAGTTACTTTCTCACCCTCCCCTCTCCACTGAAGGAATACCATACCAGCAAGCTCTTCTTTGACAGTTCAATGCAGGGCTGATTAAAATGAGTAGTTTTTCATAACTTCTGTTTAACCTTGAAATCTGCTGCTTCTATTTCAGGCCTGATGAAGTGGTGGTGTGCCTGCAAGCTTGTCTCATTTTTTCCCCCCATACCAGCTGGTCTAATAAATTACCTCTTCCTAACAACCTCATGTTAGCCATGTCCTTAGATCAAACACAGCAAAACACCATTATGTTACTTCAAACTTGTATTAAACCCTGACAAAGAGTACTTCTGGTTTAAGAAATAATAAAAACCAAAGTCACCCGAACTACTACCTTGCATTGTAAAGGTAGTTGTTCAACTTCTCCACTCATCACATGCAAGATAGTTTATATGCAAGGAAAGACTCACTTACTAAAGTACCTTCCAGCAACACAAGCATTTTCTGTTTAAACTGCTCTCAATGTGAAAAAAAAAGAAATACATTGACTGGACATTTTAGCAAGTTTGAGGTGACTCCAGGGCTGATGCTTAGGTTCCTAAACTGTCTGCTATAGAGCATGAGTTCAAAACAACCAGTTTCCATGATTTAAATTTCAAAGCAACTTTTCCTCTTAACTTGAGAAAGGGAAGTGAGGTGGGGAGTGTGAGGAACAGTTTGCTGCAGATAAATCACCTCTTTTCAGTCTATGGGTATAAGGTCTTTTTTTTTTAAGGTCTGGCAGTTGGAAGCTTAACTCCCCTTTCAGACATGCCTTTATTTGGAAACAGTGCAGGAGCAGGCAGGGCTTTTTCATAAATACTGCCTGGCCACATGCAAACAGCAACTTGGTAAAATGAGTGGCAGCTCTGCACAACCAACACAGCCATATGCTCCTCTAACTGTTGCTGGACAGAAAAACAAGAGTTTAGGGTTTGAAAAAACAAACAAAACCCACCCCTTTGTAATTGCTCATTAATCATTAAAGGAAAGAGGGGAATTCTGGCCTCTGCTTTTAGAAAGGGACCAGAGCTCTATATAAATCCTGCAAAGCTTGAAGCTCACACAGTTATACTCCTTAGGACACTAATTGCCTGTACCACAGTGCTATCTTCAGGACTGCAGCGTGTTTGCTCTTGACAGCAAGTACTGGCTTCAGATAAGAGGGCACAGTCCTATGAAATGCACAGGCAGCACTGGTTATGAATGCGAGGGGGACAGGGAGCTAACTGAAGTGCTGATAAATGGCTGGACATGAAACTTCAAATCAGGCACCATCAGTGTACCAGAAAGCAGGAATGAGCCGCATCTTGCGCACTGATTGGTGTTAGTGCTTGTGTATTCATTGCAATACCTGCAAGATGGCTCCTTGAGATCACATCCCCCTTCTTCCCGCAGACAGACTATTTTTACACAGCCATTGACCAGCTCACTTTGACAAAAATAACCGGAACTAAAACTTGAGGCCAGCCATCTTCCTGATACTCCTGACTTCCAGGAGGCTCAGGAACATAGCAGCAGAGGAGACCAGGTGAGAAGAGGTGACCCCAAGAATTTGAAGTTAGAACCTGACATGAAGTGCAACACCAGGATCTCTTTGCATTTCCCTTCTCCACAGTGCTTTCTCTCACACCAAGAAATGCTCCCAGCTAGAAAAGTTACAATACCTTCATCAGATTTTCTTTTGGAAAAAGAAAAAAAGAAAAAAAGGACTCAAGCAAGTTCCATTCAGGTTTTCATCCCCATCTTCTTCCTGTCAGATACTGCCAAGGTCAGACACAAGAACCATACAAAAAGGTATCAAAGCAGAACAGCAAGAGGAGGTTATCTATTTAAAGGTACTTTCATTTTCTTCAGAAAAAGAACTGTTGTTCCAGAAGTTAAAGTTTACAGTCTGCACAATTTTTAGCTTGGATTATCGCCTATGTTTGAAGCACTGGTTTAGTGCTGCTGAGTTGAGGAGAAAATGTCCACTTTATTGCAGATGCCTAACACTGGTTCTGTGTGGACAATCACCACCACAGCAGCCTCCTACTTCCAAACTTTCTAGACCACAGGGTCCATGGAAACACCTGACTTTAATGACAGAAACCATTCACATCCATCTTCTGATGGATGGTTGATTTGATTATATCAGGCCTTAGGCCTGTGCATACTGCTCATCTTGGAAGATTAGAATCCCAAAGAATCTCTTGAATCATATGTGGTCTGCATCTGCATGAAAACAGAGATTCCCCATCTAGAAAGTGAACAATTTAAACAAGAAAACCAAGTACAACAGCAACATAAGAATGAGGCAACTATGGGAGAAAGGAGGGGAAATGCATACTGGAAAAAACCTTAATTTGCTAAGGAAAAGCCTGGACTTCAAACAAACAAGCTTTTACTCCCAGAGGGACAGACTTGTGATCAAGGTTTGGCATCTGTTCAGTTCCTCCTCCATGGCAAATGGCCTTGCTGCCTCCTGCATTGATGCTATCAACACAGCTTTGGCTGCCTGGAAGCTACATTTGAAAGGCTGTCGACCAGAGCAGTCTTGAACTTTGTTTTCCATCATGAAGCACATCTTGCAAATGTTATTTTTATTTTTCCTGCCTGAGCTCATTTAGAGAAGCCACACAATTAAAGAGGCAAGCTTAAAGCAGGAAGAGGTGGTTGGGGGAGAGAGTTTCTGTGGCACAAGTCCCTTTGTAATAAAAGAACTCAAGACGGGGCAGTAAGTGTGGAAGAATTCATGCTTACTTAATCGCAAAACCCACAAGATTAGGTAAGTGATAAATCTGCTGTCTTCTCAGAGGATTCCAAAGACCTCTGTCAAAAAGGAAGCTTGTGTTTTACACCCAAACCAAACACTGCCTCTTTAGTCACCCTACAACAAGGGCTGCTGAAAGCTGAGGTTAGTAAGTTATTTTCCTTCTCCCAAAATTGCAGTATGTCTCAGTAGACATTAGCAATTTCTTGTTGCACTCCCCCAGCTGGTGAGAACTCTTGGGAGCATGATTTCTAATATTCTGAAATTTAAGATTTCTGCATTTTTATGGCCATGTAGCATCTCTATTAGATTGCTGAGGAGTTGCCTCTTAAGCTTTCAATTTCAATATTCTTTTTTTTAAGATTTCAGTTTCAAAACAAGTTGGAAAGATTTTCTTAAAATCTCACAGACCCTCAGAATCCTATTTAGCATGTTTTGATATTTTCAGTTGTTTTCAGGCTTTTTGCTGGGATTTAAGAGCCACTTCGTCTGTGTTTATAGTGTTTACTGTTCCTTGCTCTGGCAAAATAAAGGGGGTGATCAGCTGCTCTACTTCCTTGACCAAAACAAGTTACTAGTTTGGTTTAGATTTTAACTTTACACTACATTAAAAAAAAAAATAAAAAAGTTCCAAGTATTATTTTGTTCATCTTCATCTGTGGAAGGGCTCTCCTGTTCAAAGGGTCCTGTGTTACAGACCTTGATTCAAGATATATAGTAACATGTTCTTCCTTTTCATCCTTTCTAGTTAAGAAACGAAGTATGTATAATTTGAATTGGAACATTAATTTCAGTAAGGTCCTAACATCTAAGACTTTACCCTGATTCCAGGGAAGCTAGAATCCTGTTCAGTATTTCCGCCCATCATACCACAAGGACACGTATGTGGGATTTGCTTTAGCATGGCTTCTACAGTTTCAATCGATGCTGTGGAAAAAAAATGCAATAAGGAAAATAAAGAGTACACTGACCACCACCTAAAGTTAGAGATTTTTCAATTTATTTCTGCCAAGTGGGACTAGAACTGTGACCTCTGTATATCGCTCCAACCCCTCAGCAATTCTGACAGCATTATAAAATACTGCTATCCTACAAAAGAGAAACCATATCCTTTTCATAACTCTTTTGAGAGTAACAGTGTATCTTAAAGCAAAAATCCTTAAAACTGGTTGCTACCTTGAGTAAGTAAGGTTACTGTAGTATTAGTATTCCCAGTAATAAGTCTAGGGAACATTACAGATCGCATTTAACAACTGGCAGCTTTCAAGAGAGCCACCACGTGCTTCCCAGTCCAGCAGGGCACTTTATGGCAAGCAAGCAAGCCAGAAACTGGGACCAGTTCAGTAACAAAAAATAAGCACAAAAGAAATGATCAGCAGCTTAACTACTTGAAGTTGATTCATTTCCACAGTAGCTGGATGTAAATACTTCCTGTTCTCTACACTGGTTAGACTTTCAGTTCAGAGAATATGTAAGAGACTGAGAACCTACATCCAATATTGTGGCGCCCTCCCTTCTTGTGTTATGTAAAAACTAGTGCGAGAGCATGTTCAGCCTAGTTAGCCAAGAATTTAACCTTCTCTGTAATTAACTGTGGTGTCTGACATCATCATCCCTTCCAGGTTCTCTTAAAATTTTAATAGCCTGGTTTATGAATATTCATTTGCCAGCATTACACTTCCAGGGATTTATGAAAACCCAATGGCATGTCAGTTCCTAAATAGGTTTCATTATTCCTGTTGCTTCTTTAGCATATTTATTACAAGCCAATTTTATGCTGTCAGAAAGCGCATCGAGCCTGCAGTTGGTCCAACCATCTACGTCATTTCATAGAGATTAATAGACACAGCAGACATGTGAGTGCTACTGCTAAGGATGCCTATTAATTCCTCCACTAGACATGATGCTTCTTCACAGGCCTCATCAGTTCTAGGCTATAAAACCTGTTTCTCCCTTATCTCCTCTTGTTTCGCTCCTCCTACACGTCACTGCAGTTACAGGCGAAGCACGCGACAACCAGCCCTTCAAAGCCTGCTTCTGTGTGAGAGAATAGTCACCCAGACCAGGAGGGGTTTATGAGATGTGTACAGACAACTATTTCATGCAGTCAGCTTGCTTCAGCAAGTGCTATGAGCCAGATGAAACTGGCACACTGCAAAAGCTAAATAAAGTTTGTGACACATTATTCCATTACCAAGAGGCATAAACAGTTCTTCTGTACCACAAAGTATAATTTGTTTGACAGTTGTTCATTTTTTTTCAGACTCTGACACTGCTGCAGTTTTAAACCACTGATTGGACATCACAGACCCAACCATGCCCAGATGTAAAGCATCCCCAGTTCTGAAAGGACAGCTTAAGAAAAGTTCATAGTGGAAGTAGATTGAAAACTCTTACAAACGTGAATCAGGCAATGAAAGTTTAGAGCACAATTTGTAAGATGTGAAATTTAAGGCTACATTAGATGGATT